AAAGAGCTTCCCGCCATCTAACTTCAGATAACAGTAACAGTGCCCTGTCTTGAGCTCTCACTGCGGTCGGGCGCTGAGTTGAGCATTCTGCGTGTCATATCATCCTATATACCCACAACAAACCGAAAAGGGATTATAATCTCCCCACTTTACAGGTAGACTGAGGCTGTGAAGGAGCGGCCAGAACTGGAATCTAGGTCTGAATGTTCCAAAGCCAGCTCTTAACAACACGGGGGTGATGGTGCAGGGGTGGGGAGTGGTTTCTAGGCCTTTATTTTTGCGGAGGAGTAACTCTCCCTACCCCATGATCCCGGGAACCCTGGGGTCTGGCTGTGCTGACGCCCAGTGGGAGATGAAGGAGCGGAGCGGGTTGCAGGGGTCCACACCTGGCCAGTTCCCAGGGTATCTCTTAAGGGGATCCTCCCTGTGCTTCAACTTTCCCGGCTGTTTCCTATATTTCCCCGCCTCTCCCGGGCCGGACTCGGCGCGCCGTCGCCCTCCACTCCCCCACCCCTGGGGACCCCCGGAGCTGCCAGCTCTCCAGGAATTGGGAAATTCGTGACGTTCCCTGCCCAGGCTTCGCCAAGGGCGGGGGTGCGCTGCAAGGGGCCATCGCGCAAGTGCGGCCCCGGCCTCCGCCGCAAACGGCCGGCCTCATCTGGGGCCCGGGACTCCTGGAGGAGGCACGCCAACTGGCGCACCGGGCGGTCCTGGCGTCCCTGCCTTTCCCATCGTCCGGCTCCGAGACTCGCCGCCTCTGCCGCCCTGCCCGCGGGTGTGCGGTCGCTTCCCTCCGCTCCCCGTTATTCTTTGCAGACGCTCCCCGGCGCCGGGCATGGGCGCCGCCGCCGCCGCCGCCGCCGCCGCCGCCGCCGGTCCTCGGGCCGGATTCCGCGCGCGGGTGGGTGAGCGTGGGGCCCCGGCCAGTCCGACCCCGGGCACCTGCGGGCCGTGGGGGCGGTGGTGGCCGCGTCGGCACCTGCGGCCAGGTGCATCCCCCGCTGAGACCACTTGCCACCGTCGCTCCCCTTCCCACCAGCGGGACAAAGGGCGGGGGCGGGGGCGCATCCCCACTCACGACCTTCCCCCGCACTGCGCACGCGCCCAGCTCCCCAACGGGTGCCAGGCCTTGATCGCCCACGCGAGTGCGTGGGGTGACCTGGGGTGGGGAGGCGCGGCTCGTGGCTTGGGCCCCCACCCTGCACCTGGAAGTTGGGGCACACTCTCCCTGCCCCGCACCTCTCACTTCTTTGGTCCCGAGGCGACCTGTGATGAGGGTCTGTCCTATTTCGGCCAGGACGTGCCTGCTCTGTCGACCCCACCGGTCCTCCTTCCAGCACCCTCGTTCTCCAGAGTCTAGGAGTTTGTAGCCCCAGGGGTCCTCCCTCAGTCCTGGGGGGTCTGGGCCCCCTCCTCCATCAGACCCAGGAGTCCTGGTCCTCAGCACGCCCTCCCGCAGCTGTGAGCCCCAGCTCCCCCGGGATGTCCCGAGGCGTCCGTCTGTGTTCCTTCACCTGTGGCTGCTGTTTCTGTCCAGTGCCCCTGAGGCTCTCAGCTGCTGGGGTCCGCAGGAGGCCGCACCATGAATGAGCGAAACATTAGCCGGAGGAGGACAGGTGAGGAACTGGACCTTGCTCCACCCCTGGTCCCACAGCTGCTGCCCGTTGTGCCTGCCCTTTCCTCTCCAGGGCTGCGTGGTTGGGGGCCGGGCCGAGGCTCCGCGGGACTTCCCCGGGGTGACCCCGGCCTCTTTTCTCCAGTGAAGGAGGACAGTGAGGCCTTCGAGATTTCCATCCCCTTCGACGAGACGCCCCACCTAGCCCCACAGATCCTTTACAGTCTGAGCCCCTCTCAGGGAAACTTGGAGGGTGAGTTGGTTGAAGGGGGACTTGAATCAGGCGGGGGTGCAGGGCCCTGAGGCCTGGGGTCGACCAGAGTCCTCTGCTGTCCCTAGAGCCTCCGGAGGCTGCGTCCCCAACTGTGGCCCTGATGAACGGTGTTAGGGCCCAGCTGCACATGGCCCTGGAGAGGAACTCATGGCTGCAGAAGCGCATTGAGGACCTGGAGGAGGAGAGGGACTTCTTGCGGTGTCAGCTGGACAAGTTCATCTCCTCTGCCCGCACGGATGCAGGTGAGGCCGCCAGTCCCCTCCGCATCTCACCCCCGGGCCCCGGCACCCAGCTCGGCCCTCCTCAGGGACACAGGACCCTTCTCACCCACACTCATCCTCCGGCGGCTCAGGGGGACCTGTCATTTTGCCCTCTCCTTGCACCTGTGGCCATGTCTGCGGTTTCAAGCCCAGCTTCCTTCCTGCTTGAGTCCTGCTGCTGCTGGACAGGACACTGTGCCCTGCTGGTCCATGTATTCTGAACACTGCCCCATCCCCTTCCCTTATAGCGCTTTTCTCTGCCAAATCTTTAGCTGTGTTTTGGTGGATCCAGACTCGCCTCTCCCCTTCCTGCCGTTCAGCCCCTGGCTGGCTCCCTCAAAAGCTTCTGCTTCCCTCTGTGAAGTCAGCTGAAAGTCTGGGCAAGGGGCCTGTGTTTTTTCAACACTTACTTTACTGAGGACCCTTCTGCTCTCGAGCCACCTCTAGCCTGGGTTGCTGGGGCCTCCCACCATCCACCCACGCTGACGGGAACCTACCAAGGATGGTCAGGCCCAGGGGCTTCTGGATTTACTCGGTGGGAACCGCAACACTGGACCTCCAAACCCACCCTTCGGAGGGCCCTGCATCAGAACCCCCGCTGCTTTCTCTGTCTGGGTGAGGGTGGGCGCCTGCCCTTCCCAGCGCACTAGACCCAGAGACTAAGGTTTCCCTCCGGGTCTGCACTCCCACCCCCAGCCAGGCTTTGCCTGCCTCCCCGCTTATAGAGGCCTCACTGGGTCCCCAGAACACCCCCTTCTCCACCGTGGGAACCCCACAAAGTCAAAGATTCTCTCGACGCCCCCGGGACTGTCTTGGTCCACTGGGCCCCTCCCCCAGACCTCTTGCCACCAAGTTGAGGAGCATCCTCAGCCCATGCCCCACCCCACAGAGATTTGGGATCTCCGTCCCCAAATCCCAGCTGCTTGTGGAACTTCAGCATCTATAGTGCACTTCCTGCCTGTCCCCTCCTTGGGGACCCCTTCCTGGGGACCTGGGTGACAGTGCTATCGGTCCCCACCTGGCCGACTCCTCCTCCCTCCCTCCTGATGCGTGTGTCTCCTCTCACCTCTCCAGAGGACCACTGCCGGCTGAAGCCTGGGCCCCGGAGGGCTGAGGGGGACGGCAGAGGCGGGGCTGGGGGCGAGGCCTCAGACCCCGAGTCAGCTGCCTCCTCACTCAGCGGAGCATCTGCACAAGGCAGTAACGGGGAGAGGAAGAGGCAGAAGCAGAAAGGGGGCACTGGCCGGAGGCGCTTCGGGAAGCCCAAGGCCCGGGAGAGGCAGCGGGGTAAGCGAAGCACAGGGGGTGGGGGTCTCTGGGGCTCTGTGCCGGGGACTTGCTGTGTGACCTCCAAGGAGCTCCCCCTTGTCCTCCCAAGCCTTGGTCTCTCCATCAGCAAAGAGACCAGACCTGGTTGTCTGTCCCGGCCTCCACGTGTGGTCCTGGTTTACAATCCTTAAATCTGTGTCCACCCTCACCGCTGCCTGGGGCTTGACCTTCCTGAGCCCTGGGCTCCTGTCAGTAACAGGGGAGGGGGCGATGGCCCAGGTGGGCTGGGAACTCCACCCTTGAACCCACTCCCTCCATTTTTCCTCCTCATCCCCCTCCCTGGGCTTGCCTTCTCTGATTTTCCTCTGGTCCGACTTCTGTCTACATTTCTTCCGCCTCTTGTAACTCTCACTGCTTTTCCTCGTTCTCTGTTTTGTTCTCCTGATCTTCTGGCCTCCCCGTCCCACTGCCTCTCTCTCGCTCTCTCCCCTCGGCCCTGCAGTGAAGGACGCCGACGGTGTGCTCTGCCGCTACAAGAAGATCCTGGGCACCTTCCAGAAGCTGAAGAGCATGTCTCGGGCCTTCGAGCACCACCGAGTGGACCGCAACACGGTGGCGCTGACCACGCCCATCGCGGAGTTGCTCATCGTGGCCCCCGAGAAGCTGGCGGAGGTGGGCGAGTTCGACCCCTCCAAGGAGCGTCTGCTCGAGTACTCGCGACGCTGCTTCCTGGCCCTGGACGATGAGACCCTCAAGAAGGTGCAGGCCCTTAAGAAGAGCAAGCTGCTGCTTCCCATCACTTACCGCTTCAAGCGGTGATCCCGCCCCACCTGGCCCGGGACACGCCCCCGGCCCCTCTTTCCGTCCCCCTCCGCCCTCCCGGCATTGGTCAAGCGTGTATAGGAGTGGTGGGCCCTCACGAGGGCATGGGGGCGGGTGGGTGGCCTGTTTCTGCGCGTGCCTCTCCCCTTCCCCTCCTGCGGACCGCCACCCCCTTCCCGGGTCCCTTGTATATAGATCTGCCCCTTTGCCTCTCTCATTCTTAGCATCCTCCCCGTCTTCCGCATTCCCTGGGGTGGGGGCGGTCCAAGAACTACTGTCCAGGGGCCGGTTTCTGCCCTTTCCTAAACACTGGCACCCCCTCCCACCTGAGCGGCACCGTCCTGCCGTCACCCGGCCCTTGCTCCTGGGAAAACTGCGGGACTGCGGGGCGAGGGCACTGTACGTACCCCGTTGCCGCCCCCAGCCCCGAGGAGAGGCTGGCCCACCTGCCCGCCCTGCAAGGAGCTCCCCAACCGCGTTCCGGGACCGCCTCGAGTCCACGTGAAACAGATAATTATTAAGTGAATTTAAATTATAAAGAGATGATAAAATTTGGAATAAACTAGGTCCCGGCCTTTTCCTGGGAGGGGGTGGCCGTTGCCGCGAAGACGGTGACGGAGGCTCTGAGCGGTTCCGGGGCACGGACGGTCAGGCGGGAAACGGGGAGGTTGGGGAGACAGGGTGTAATTGGCTCCCCGGAGGCAGGGGTGGGAGGGGAGAAGGAGCTGTGCCCTGGGGAACTCGGAGGGGCGGAGCTCCGGAAAAAAGGCGTGAGCACTATCCGCTGGGCTACTTGGACTAGAGGCACGGAGGCAGGAGGCGGGACTGAATAAAACCTCTGGCGGAGGCGGCCAACGAGGGGAACGGGGAATGTCTGAGCGTAGGCTTCCGCCAGGAGGCGGTAAAGAGAAATAAGCTGCCT